CCAGAAAGTTTAGCAGTCCCTGCACTTTAAGTGACATCAGTCGCGTTACCCATGTTTTAAAATCCCATGTTTTGGTTGGTTTTAACGCTTAATGCCACAGCGAATTGGTAGATATCTCCTGTCTTATCCTATTTTCTTTAACAATTTCATTAAATTTTCATGCAAACTTCCTTAATGACTATTTTTCTCACATATTTTCGTTCATTACTAAAACTATTACAAAAAAGAGAAGGAAGATACCAAAGGTATATTCAAACTCATTAGTCGATTAAAATCTGACAACGCCATGACAAAAAACGATAAACGACCATAAGACTAATAACAGTATTCTAAACACAAAATAGTAAACCAAAGGCTGATCAACACGAAGCCTACCACAAACCGCGGATGATCTCAGGTGCCCCGGAAGGGTTAGCAGATCCTGCTCCACATGTGACAACCGTCGTGTTACTCCTATTTAATATGTTGAAAAGTTATATCAAATGATTTGTCCTTTGAAGTTATGTTGTACTGTTACACCACTGTCCCGCGTAAGGGGAGGGTTTGGCGCCAGCAAACATATTTAACCTCACCACATTCTATACGTGTCTGTTCCAGTCAGGAGCCTGTAGTTCAGTGGTTCTCGATGGTTCAGGTCTGTCGTATTTGTTTTTCGTAAATTGTTTTATTATGAATTAGGCCGTTAGTTTTCTCAATTGAATTGTTTTATATTTTTAATGTCGGAGCCTTTTATAGCCGACCATACGGTATGTGTTTTTCTCATTGTTGAAGGCCGCATGGCTGCCCATATTTGCTTACATCCACTTCATTTGAACTTTGGTGGATACCTGTCTCATTGGTAATCATACCACGTCTCCTTATTTTTATTTTTTGTCATATACATGTATATAGTTCTTCAAGCTCATTTCTTTTGAGATATTTATGTTTCGCCAAGTACAGATGTATTTGCTTCTAATGTGGAGTTTGCTATTGTATCAGTCACGTTTATATTTACGATCGGCAAAACGCGTTCTTATCATTCATACATTTGGAAATATTTAGTAGCTGGACGTAATTTAAGTAACGATTAATCCACCTGTTGATACATTATTATGATGAACTTTTGTTGCGTTTTTAAAGAATGAGATCTTATGGGATTAGTTTAGAAACCCGATAGTATCATGTGCATATGCCACTTTAAGAGCAAATACATCTGTGCTTGTGACGAAACATATGTTTATCAAACGAAATGAGAATGAAGGACTGTATATATGACAAGATTTTTTTTTATAAAGGGCATATAGTACTAGGGATACATAATGGCAATACAACTGTATCATAACACTGCTCGTAATCTTACAACAAAACACATTTTCAACCGCCAGACAGATAAATGATCAAATGTATTGCGTTAATAGCCAGAATCCATCTTAAACCAATATACTAAACCTAATTAAGGACAAAAAAAGGAAGTAAACATATTAAACATCTGCGTCTCGGTTTCGTAACGGCCTAGGCAAAATAGAATGAGTTTGGAATTACCGTTGCTTTTTTTTTATCTTGCATGATATGAAATAATCACTGATTACGAGCAATAATATAAGACGAATGAAAAGAGATGTGTGGTTAAGTAAGGCAACAGCATTTTACAGATAAATAGATTTAAAAGACAAATTAATACAACAAACAACAAACAAAAACTTAGGGGATCGCACGTACTCATTAAGATAAGGAGTGAGACAGGGTATGTCGACAGGGTAAGCGTCAACTTCTAAGCATGTATTATCCGCCATTCGAATCCACAAAATGGGAGAACCCAATCGATAAAATTACATATTAGGATAAGGCTATTATTATGGTATCGAAAGACTGCAATCATCATGTCACTAGTGAGTTAAGACACCGACATATCATATCGTGATGGTGATGGTGACCGGTGTAGTGTCGATTTCAGTCGTCCTTACTCATAACTCAGTTAGAGCAATGTTTGTGTAAGGACCACACGTCACCTCTGCTAATGAAATCTGTATAGTGTAAACATGCACGAGCGTAACGTATCAATTGACATTTGTAAACGCCATACGATAGTTTAGAGGGTATGTTACTGCTGCTACAATATCGAGGAAAAGATAAGGTATGAAGCAGACCTTCTAGTTTCGATAGTATCCTTAATTTCAAGTTCACTGGGATACACAAGATGCAAGCATTCACTGAAATGTGGGTTATTGAGTGACAGGACATCATAACATATCTGAAAGTGAAATAAAAGAGCTTTGCCAGATGTTGTTTTCTTTTTGCCTTTTAGAAAAAAGTAAAACAACAAAAATACCGAATTACAAGGAAAATTCATAACGGAAAGTCCATTAACAATTGGCAAAGTCCAAAGCTCAAACACATCAAACGAATGGAAAACAACTGTCATATTCCTGACTTGGTACAGGCATTTCCTTATGTAAAACATGGTGGATTAAACCTGGTTTTAAAGCTAGCTAAACCTCTCACTTGTTTGACAGTCGCATACAATTCCATTATATTGACAACAATGTGTGAACAAAACAAACAGACATAATAGGTAAAAATGTCAAAAATAGGGGTAGAGCAGTCAATATTGTGTTATAACCTTAATCGCTATAAAAATAAACAACTATGTCAATTAACAAAGAAAAACAAACTGGCATATAGACAAAGCACATACGCAAAAATGAAATACAAGAATACAAAAAATGACCATAGCACAATAACACAATGGCAGGATGTATAAGTACCGAGCCACGCCAAAAGGATATTACCAAAAATGGACCATACAGCATAGGTTAATAATTTAAGACAAATAAAAGAACACTATAACACATAATTAAGATGATAAACAACGTTAGTACCTACAATCTATACATCAAGACTATCATGTATTGTTTGTGAGGTTGATACGGAATATTTATCAACATTGTCTTGTTATCTTCCGATAAACTTTTTTAGGAAAAGAACGAGACGTTCTTTGACATAACCCTGGTTCACCAACTTTCTGCTCAGACACTGGTGACGCTTTATAAAGTCTGAGTAGTAGCTGCAAGCTCTTGAATACCGAATAAGTTGGGAAATGTATATCCCATATGCAGGTGAAGTTGGTATATTGCTACTAAGGTGGGGGAAATTGATAATTTCAAAATTAAAATCGTCTCGTTTGTCATAGATTCTGGTACTGAGATGACCGCTTATGTCAAGGGTTTGTATGATTTCTGCTTCATATGAGTACAAACACAAGTCGGTAGTAGGATTTCACACTAGGTAAACATTGGAAGACCGACTGTCACCAAACTCAGCAAATATGTTGGTGTTCCGAAAGTCCGGCATTTTGATGATATCATCCTTGGTGCAAATGGTCATTGGAATCAGTTCGGTTCTTCACAAAGTGAAATTGTAAATGATATAAAATAAGAAATTAATTAGTATCTATGATTCCCATTTTTGTAAAAGAATATAAAAAAGAGCTCTGTTTGATGAGACGATGTATTCGATCTTTAAATGAAGAAAGTTTTGATATTTCTGCAAAAATTGTGATTGAAGATTTTGCAGTAGATCTTTAGAATTTTTAAGAATCCACATCTGATTGACATCCCTTAGCTGAATTAACTTAATATTCATATTTCTAAAGGCATCTTTTACTGAAGATAGAATGTCGTTAGAACCTTAAAAATATGTTTGGTCGAAAATCTTGACGACCCAACTATTTATCGTTCGTTATAAGGATTTTTGTTAAGTTTATGTATCTAGTATGATGACGTGAGATTTTCATCGTCCATCGTCACTTTTAATGTTAATTCCAATGGAGAGAAGGATGAATTTGTGTTTTCTATAATCTCCTCTTTCGTGAACGAATAAATGATAATTTTCTTGGATTTGACGTGTTGGTTAAAAACTTTTAGCTGACAAAATACTACTTTTCGCAGTGACTTCTTCAAGTGTATAAGTTGTTCATTTCATGTGTTTGAAAGCAAATATGTATTTAATGAAATATCGCGAGATAAAAATTCAACGTAGTCGATGATTGTTAAATGAACATTGTTCACCACCCCCAACCCCAACCCCTTTTCCACCCCATTATGACTATCTCATATTGACGACGATTCTAAATCAGTCATATGTAACATGAAAACGAGTTTGTGTTGGACTTTTAACTTTAGCCTTTATTTTTTATCCTTACTTTATTTTTCTGCTGTTTTAGACATCGATGATAGATCCTGCTTACTCTGTCCATTGTTGAAGGTCATTAAGTGAACTGTAGTTGTTTTCTTTCTTGGGTGTTTTGTTTTTGTTTTTTTGGTTTTTTTTTTTGGGGGGGGGGTCTTTAGTCGATAGCTGTTTCATTGGCAATCATGCCACATCTATTTATTTTAATTTCAGGTCTTACAAAAAATCACAATTCACCAGTTAAAATAACATGATTATGTTTTTAGTCAATATACTTACTTGCATATTTATGTTTTTATATGTTATTGCTTTCGTAACATCAGGACCATTTGTAAACTTCAAACACCGAAAATTTTAACAGGCGCAAATACAGTGCTTTCAAGTTGGAGTCATCCTTTGAAAAATCTTTTTTAAAAATCCATTTAATTGTTAATGTTTTATTTATATATCTGTAATTTTTTTAGCAACATTTGATGAGTTTTGTGTTGACAGATCTTCCATATTTTATGTTACATTTATCCACAAATTCTAGGTCTCAACGATTTAGAGCTTGGCATATTGTACTATATATAGACAAATTGAATATACCGTATCTTTATGTGTACGTTTGGATTTGTTGTGCCCTTCAGTCGCTGTCTCATTGACATAAAACCAATTACTTCCTCGTGTTTGAATGATATAGTTGTATCGGAATTAAAAGTAGATGAAACAAACCTACTTTCAAACAAGTACAAAAACTTAACCAAAATACAATGATTCCTCTAAGCATAACGAAATTGATCAGGCAAGATCCAATTAATCAAAACAATTTTTAGAACAAAAGAAGACCGAAAGGCATGTAAAACTATTTATTAAATAAAAGACAGAATTTGTAAACATCAAATATATGGAACGGCAACTCTCTCTCTCAAACGTACTGGGTAAATGTCATTGAGTAAAATACTAAAATGTTCAAATCTTTAATAAAAAATATACAGTGAAAGTAATAAGCAATAAAGTATGAAAATTATCAGTTGATAAGAATGTTAATTGAGTTAAAACATACAACACAAATTCAAGTGTTACCCTTCCGGAGCACATTCTCAACCGTTTCTTTTTCCCTTAAAATTTATGGTCATTTTTATTTTGGCGTGTACTCTTTTGATAACATCGTCCCATCGCCATGTTTAATATCTTTGGCATTATAAAAGTTTGGTTCTAATAATTGTGATGTAGTTTAATTTAGAAAATGGCTTTGAAAACAGGAGAAAAAAATAGAAATTACATATATTTACAATGAATTACTGCTATTGAGTCTGTACAACTAGTAGTGGACCTAAAGTCCTTAGTCAGTGCTGCAACAGTGGCGATTTATACATACATTTTAGTAACTTTCCGTTGATATCTTAATCGTTTTTAACTTAAACCCAAATTTCTTAAACATAACTAATCTTAACAGATTTGCCATTCTTGATTGTAGTAGTCTCTGTATAAACATCTTGGCTTTTAAAATTTTTCCAAACAAGAGCTTGAAATGCCAACAATTCAGTATATTTTGTGGTCTCAGATACCGCATCCTTTTAACAACTTACGTTTACAGATCTTTGTCCTTACTCTCTTTAAGAAATATCATATGTGCTGTTATCAAATGTTTTAGAAAGTACAAAATGGCGGTGTTTATTCTATATCATATTGAGGCTTATTGCTTGATTTGAATTGATCTCAGATTACTTTCAGCTTATTTTCGTGGCTTGACCATAGTATTAGATTATATTACTATATGCCATTCGAAGCTTAGCACATAAGACAAACATTGAAAAAAATGAAAACTGAAAAAAAAATATTCTCATTTTTGTCATTTTTAAATTCGATGTTGATGGCAAATCTTTAACAGTATCTGTTAATTTTTTTCTTATCTTTTTCAGGCTCGGATCTTTTGCAGAATACAATATATTGACAACAATATACTGAGGTACATACGACTCTCCTTTTATTCACTTTTACTTCATCCGAATATGAAGTATTTTTCTATACCGTTCTAATGTTATTTGGTATGTCTTTATAACTAAGATTTGGGCTCGTTTTTATACGCCCGTTTACGGCACGTATTATGGGATACCGTTGTCTGTCCGTCCGTTCGTCTGTCCGTCGTTAGCACTTCGGACAGAAACTCAAACACGCTTTCACCAATGTTCATGAAACGTGTTTATATCTAATGAAGTAAGCTCCGTTTCGATTTTTAAAAAAATTCAGATTTTACGTTACCGAGTTACGTTACCGTGTATGGGATTTTATAATAAATTCATAAAAAATAGGGGATTTTCCAGTTTTTGAGTAATTTTCATGAAATTCGGTGAATTGTTAATATATATTGACATAAGTTCCCTTTTTAGCTCACCTGGCCCGAAGGGCCAAGTGAGCTTTTCTCATCACTTTGCGTCCGTCGTCCGTCGTCGTCGTCGTCCGTCGTCGTCGTCGTCGTCGTCGTCGTCCGGCGTCGTCTGTTAACTTTTACAAAAATCTTCTCCTCTGAAACTACTGGGTCAAATTTAACCAAACTTGGTCACAATCATCATTGGGGTATCTAGTTTAAAAAATGTGTCCGGTGATCCGGTCAACCAACCAAGATGGCCGCCATGGCTAAAAATAGAACATAGGGGTAAAATGTAGATTTTGGCTTATATCTCTGAAACCAAAGCATTTAGAGCAAATCTGACACGAGGTAAAATTGTTTATCAGGTCAAGATCTATCTGCCCTGAAATTTTCAGATGAATCAGAGAACCTGTTGTTGGGTTGCTGTCACTAAATTGGTAATTTTAAGAAAATTTTGCAGTTTTTGGTTATTATCTTGAATATTATTATAGATAGAGATAAACTGTAAACAGCAATAATGTTCAGCAAAGTAAGATCTACAAATAAGTTGCATGACGAAAATTGTCAGTCGACTCCTTTAGGAGTTATTGCCCTTAATAGTCAATTTTTTACAATTTTTCGTAAATTTTTGTAATCTTTTACAAAAATCTTCTACTCTGAAATTACTGAGACAAATTTAACCATACTTGGCCATAATCATTATTAGGGTATCTAGTTTGAAAAATTTGTGCGATGACCCCGCCTTCCAACCATCATGGCCGACTTGGTTAAAAATAGAACATAGGGGTAAAATGCAGTTTTTGGTTTATATCTCTGAAACTAAAGTATTTAGAGCAAATCTGACAGGTGGCAAAAATGTTCATCAGATTTAGATTTATCTGCCCTGAAATTTTCAGACGAATCCGACAACCCGTTGTTGGGTTGCTGCCCCTGAGTTAGTAATTTTACAAAAATTTTGCAGTTTTTTGTTATTATCTTAGATATCATTATAATATCTAATATCTAATACTATTAATTATGATTTTAACCTTATTTTACATGATTTCCAAAGCATCAGTAAATACAGGTGAGCGACACAGGCTCTTGAGAGCCTCTAGTTTTTTTATAAATTTCTGATATGACATTGTGGAGTTATGGAACTTTATTTGTTGAAAAATAGTCGAAAACTGTCTATTTTTCACACTTGTCCATGTCCTTGTTTTAGATTTTCAAAAAATGACAAATATATTAGGGTAATTGTAAACAACAACAGATGCGATATTTAGAATGTGCAGACAAGTTCCAAAAAAAATCCATATTTCTTTATCAGTAAGAAAACATTTTGAAATATTACATGTAGTCATAAAAGAGCATCAGCTATGTTTCATTATTGTTACCAGTTCAAACAGGAAACGTGCCGATCAGTTCAAACAAATTATCTCACTAACAAACGTAGTACGTCGTTATAACAGCGCTTTATGTTATCCCATATGTCCATCTGTTTGCACATGAGTAGTGTTGAGATGATTATGGTTCATTGAGTTGTTAAACTGACTCATTTCTGTCATATTTATTATGCGATAATTTTGTTTTGGCAAACATCTGCAAAATATAGAAATGAACGTTTTACGGAACTGTTTACTCATACTGCAGTATAGTAAAAAGTTAACAGCATTATTACACAGTGCCAAGAGTTCATGGAATTCTCCAAGATTGTCATACACTTTCGTCATCCATTCTGCAGGGGAAAACACTATCATTAAAGTTAATATTCCAAAAGGAAGTTCAACCAATAAGAACAGTATTACAACAGCTAACAGCATGCCAGTTGTTCTGTTGTGTTCATGGTGACGTCATTTTGAAATATTACATGTAGTAATAAAAGAGCATCAGCTATGTTTCATTATTGTCACCAGTTCAAACAGGAAACGTGCCGATCAGTTCAAACAAATTATCTCACTAACAAACGTAGTACGTCGTTATAACAGCGCTTTATGTTATCCCATATGTCCATCTGTTTGCACATGAGTAGTGTTGAGATGATTATGGTTCATTGAGTTGTTAAACTGACTCATTTCTGTCATATTTATTATGCGATAATTTTGTTTTGGCAAACATCTGCAAAATATAGAAATGAACGTTTTACGGAACTGTTTACTCATACTGCAGTATAGTAAAAAGTTAACAGCATTATTACACAGTGCCAAGAGTTCATGGAATTCTCCAAGATTGTCATACACTTTCGTCATCCATTCTGCAGGGGAAAACACTATCATTAAAGTTAATATTCCAAAAGGAAGTTCAACCAATAAGAACAGTATTACAACAGCTAACAGCATGCCAGTTGTTCTGTTGTGTTCATGGTGACGTCATTTTGAAATATTACATGTAGTAATAAAAGAGCATCAGCTATGTTTCATTATTGTCACCAGTTCAAACAGGAAACGTGCCGATCAGTTCAAACAAATTATCTCACTAACAAACGTAGTACGTCGTTATAACAGCGCTTTATGTTATCCCATATGTCCATCTGTTTGCACATGAGTAGTGTTGAGATGATTATGGTTCATTGAGTTGTTAAACTGACTCATTTCTGTCATATTTATTATGCGATAATTTTGTTTTGGCAAACATCTGCAAAATATAGAAATGAACGTTTTACGGAACTGTTTACTCATACTGCAGTATAGTAAAAAGTTAACAGCATTATTACACAGTGCCAAGAGTTCATGGAATTCTCCAAGATTGTCATACACTTTCGTCATCCATTCTGCAGGGGAAAACACTATCATTAAAGTTAATATTCCAAAAGGAAGTTCAATCAATAAGAACAGTATTACAACAGCTAACAGCATGCCAGTTGTTCTGTTGTGTTCATGGTGACGTCGTGCGTCCTGATCATGACCTTGACTTAATAATACTTTGCGCTTTTGATAAGCTTGATGCATTGCATATATCAATAGAAAAGTCAAAACTGTTAACAAGACACAAGGCACTAGTTTGGTGAATATTGCTTGAATATAAGTGTTCGCTATAAATACGGGATCCTTTTGATCAATCATATTGACTGTGTATTTTGCATGACAAGTGACGTTTGAACTGTTTAAATGTTTTGGTGTTTTCTTATCTAAGAAGTTTGTGTAGTAATTTGGTATACATATTATTGCTATTGTCACATAAATCAAGGCAACTGTGATTTTAGCTCTGGTCACTGTGCAAAATAATTTACCTCTGCCAGGAAACCATATATATAAGAAACGAAATATTGCCAATGAGACGGTCAGCCATACTCCAATGTTGTGACAAACTATAGCAAAACTGGCATGAAATTCCAAGTATTTCCCTTTGTGGATATTATACGTGTTCATCAGAGCAAGATCAGGATCTTTCATCACGTAAAAACCTATTGCAAATATTAAATAATCTGTCATTTTAAGATTATCCGCTACAGCTAACCACGTGAGAATGACGTTGATTGACGTCATCATGTTTTTACGTGTCAGTACTACAATGTTTGCAGCGTTTAGAATTATTCCAAAGATACAAATAACTATACAAATAGGTCCATGCATGTAGGCATACTGCGTTCGAAAATCACTCAGTGAACTACTTTTTGTCTCGAACCTAACAGCATCTTCATATACACACCGATTCATGTTGGTCGGTGTGTTCATTTATACAAGTCCTAACGGATAAAACATCATCGTTTTCATTCTAAAGACATTTATATCTGAAAGTATACAAAGAAAAAATTAACATCCGTATCATATAATATAAACATGATAAAGTGAATAATTATTATCTTGGTCGATGAGTTACTGTTTCATTGAGGTATGTGATGTAGTACTACTTAGTATCCCCCACCTGGGACTATTATATTATGTCCCAGCCCCAACATTGAGCAGTGCGAGGTCAAGCACCATCAACTTTACTCTTCTTAATTTGGCAATTGTGTTTATTACAAAATAAAATTGTGTATTGTGAGTGTGTGTGTTTTGGTATTGTCCATTTCTATGATAAAAAAATAAAATAAAACTGTGTATTGTGAGTGTGTGTGTGTGTTTTTTTTTGTTTTTTTTTTGCATTGTTCATTTCTAATAACAACAAAAAACGTACTTAGCGGTAAGATATATAAAAAAAAATAAATCTCCATACATTCTGGCTACTTTTCGAAAAAATCTCTTTTAATTATGATCCTGGGAACTGTTGGCTATCAATTGTCTTAGTCCTAATTTGTTACAGATACTTTCGAATGAAAATAGTGAATATAACCCAGTTGAATGGAGCTCTAAACACCCCTCGCATAAGACAGATTCAAGCTATTAATTCATCTTGGAGCCAACGACCCTCAATCGGCATGGCCTGGACTTTGGATTTTTACACCCCTAACAACCAAACAGGCGACCCTTTCTGCTTTATAGTGTCAGTGATGTAAAAATTGTAGAATTAAAATTCGAATTACTTTTAAATAGTATGATAATTTTACAGCAAGGTGGTGTTGTGAGAAGAATTATCTTCTATAAACTGCATGCTATATCCGATTACCAGTGACAGTTTTTATCTGTACATGTCCCAGTACGTTCCTATATTTTTATAGATCTTATCTGTATTGTCTTTATCTCTTTTCATTATTGATTGTCGAGCTTCCGAATAAAATGCAATTACTCTGACACAAAACATTACGTATTAATTTACAAAGTAATAACGTTTTTCTGTCAGCAACAATCCAAATGTTATTACTTGATACCGGTTTTTGGTAAAAAAAAAAAATGCACTAATAATTTGGTTTTTATAAAAGTCTCTATTTCTTGATATTTGTCAAAGTCTGATTATAAAAGCCTCTAAAGAGCTTTATAGCATAATTCATTCATTGATTTTCTGAATGTGACAAACAGACATTTGTAACCTACATTGAAACTAATTTGCCATGTATGACTTTCTTGAAATGTCAAAAATGTGTATAACGGAAGAACAGCGAATTCGTTTTCTTCGCTTAAGAAATGTGTTCTTTTTTATATAAAATCTCATGGCTGCAATATCGTGAAATAATAACACTTGAGTGCCTTGATTCAGATCATTGTGTAGTAAAAACAAAACTTAAAACTTGATTTTAATCTTATGGAATGAAGTATAAATGCAACAAGCGAGCATAAGAGAAATAAGTAGTGATAAAAAGATATAATTATAATTTTTCATTTACCTACCATTTGATCAATTAACATCAGCACAATATAAAAATAAGAAGATGAGGTATGAATGCCAATGAGACAACTATCCACCAAAGTTCAATAAAGTGGATGTAATCAATTATATGCAACCGTGTGGCCTTCAACATGGAGAAAACCCCACACCGTATAGTCGGCTATAAAAGGCTAAAAAATGAACGAAAAACAAATATGACAGACATGAACCAACGACAACCACTGAACTACAGGCTCCTGACTTGGGATAGGCACATAAAGAATGTGGCGGGGTTAAATATGTTTGTGAGCGCTCAACCCTCCCCCTAACCTGGGACAGTGGTGTAACAGCACAATAAGTCAAGAATTGTATATATTCATGAGAAAAACAAAACACCTATTACACATGTGTGAAACGTATGTTACATAATCTTAACAGTTTTTTTTTAATCAATTAAAGACGCAGAATACCTGAAGGATTGAAAATTAAAAAAGGTAAATAAAAAGATACCAGGGGGTATAGAAAAAAATCGCAAGACTTTTAGTAGAATTAAATACAGACAAAACAAGAACCAAAAGAGAAGGAAAATAAGGCTATCAGCAGAACAGAATAATGAAACAATAAGACGAAGAAAACCACCTGATCCTATAAAATCATAGTTTCCATAGTGATACCTTCAATAAACTTTTAATTACTTGGAGTAAAAACAGGCTCTAAAGAATCAGTTGGGGTCCTAGACCTCACTGCTTTGTTGTGAAAATCCTGAAAATAATGTATTTCTATGCACTTATATAGTGTATTGCTAAGAACTTTTACTGTATCTGCATATCGAAGATGATCATGATTTACAAGTAAGATCAACGACAAGTCGTATTCATATTTATTTTAGACTATGATTATTTGGACTTTTGTTCTCTTTTGTAAAGCATGACTCATCAGTTTCTTGTAATTGATTTTGTCTTTTTCTACTTTTCGTTCATTTTAAATTTGATTTCCTATATTCTTTAAAACTAAGAGTTGAAATAAGAATGGTCGTTCAGACAGCCACCTACTCGTATCTATCTGTAATAGTACAATAAATCTAAATATGCAAATCCCTTCTTGTGAAGAAAACAAAGTGATTGATGGGTGGATTTTCTGTTGGTTCCTTTGACAAGTTTCAATAAAGCCATTAATCACATTAGACAAGATGAATATCTAACGAGATTTGGCTGCGACTCAAATTAAAGATGGTCAATGGCAATATAATCAAGGGACTTTGTTTTTGTTATATTACGTTTGAGTTTTAAACTCAGAATTGGACTGTCCATTAATTAATGTAAATTGTACATATGAAATGTAACATATATGTTATTTCATGTTCATCTTTATGTAACACACACGTCATTGCATGTTCATCTTTATGTAACATAACAATTTTGTACATCTGTACGTCATTTCATGTTCATCTTTATGTAACATATATGTCATATCATGTTCATCTCTATGTAACATATACGTCATTTCATGTTCATCGTTATGTAACATATATGTCAATTCATGTTCATCTGTATGTAACACAACATCATTTCATGTTCCTTTTATGTAACATATACGTCATTTCATGTTCATCTTTATGTAAGATATGTGCCATTTCATGTTTATCTTTATGTAACACATACTTCATTTCATGTTCATCTTTATGTAACATATACGTCATTTCATGTTCATCTTTATGTAAGATACAATGTATATGTCATTTCATGTTTATCTTTATGTAACACATACTTCATTTCATGTTCATCTTTATGTAACATATACGTCATTTCATGTTCATCTTTATGTAACATATACGTCATTTCATGTTCATCGTTCTGTAACACATACATAATTTCATGTTCCTCTTATGTAACATATACGTCATTTCATGTTCATCTTTATGTAACATATATGTCATTTCATGTTCATCTTTATGTAGCATATATACGTCATTTCATGTTCATCTTTATGTAACATATATGGCATTTTATGTTCATCTTATATAACATATAAGTCATTTCATGTTAATCCTTAATGATTTTATTCTTATATACAATTTACTTGATATAGCTCGGGTGTGTTCATTGATAATTCGCGGAAAGCATTGTTTGAACTTATGCACTGTTAGTACCCGAGGGTGTTATTAATTCAGTAGTCAGTGCTTCGGTACTGAAATTATATTCATCAAACGTTTCTTAAATTTTCCGTTAATGAAATGAGAAATTATTAAGAAAACTAAGGTTCTAACTATCTGAAGCAAAGTTGACCTTAGATGACTTTGGCCGACTCATATTTTATGTCCCTTCTGGTCTTATACCTCTGTACGTGCTTAGGTCTTACACATTCTTGGTTTTCAAATATTCGGATTTGAGCGTTCCTGATTAAGGTAAATCCCGAAAAGAGCTTCGGACGAACGAAAGTAAGAAGTGTTATAAGCATTTGCAGTTTTATTTTTCCGCAATACAAACAATGTATAATGTATACTACGTTTCCGCAAAATTATGTCTTACTTTTCTACAATTTACTTGGTCACTTGCTTGTCATTTACGTTAAGGAAAGAAATGTATAATATAAATAAAAAGAAAAAAATAGGACATATGGTATATTATATATAAAGCTAGTAATAGCCAATGAGACAACTCTCTAAAGGAGACCAAAGAACGAGGTGGTATATGATGGATATAATAAAAAAAAATCTAAATTTTCAATACATGTAACATGCAATCGGTTTACATGACTCACATGCTACTGAACACCATAAAGGTAGATTATAATCTTGCGGAAAAGTGAACTGTAATCTTGCGGAAACGTAATGTAATATTTAGAAACGTAAAATACCGTTTTGATTGTGTGCTTTGTCAGTTTGTTAATTTTCAATTGAGAACAACTGACGAGGAAAAAGATACCACGATATTTATATCATATAACTCATGCAGGCCTTTGAAAACAATTGAGGAATTATCCGATCTCTCAAATCGAGGGTAGGGGGTAACAGTTAATCGAAGTTATCAAATAGCAGTTTGATTTAGTTTAATTAGTTTATTCAACTAAACTGAGTTTCAGTCGACCAATCTGGAAAAGTCTTTATAGGATTACAATTTCATTGAATATATTTTCAAAGGGATCCGTAACATTAATCGCAAGGCATTTGAAAATCATGTTTTATTTCCCAATAAAATGCAACATTTATGACTGCACGTGCTCTCCATGACAAAAACGCATTGAAACAATAAAAAGCTTGATTTAACTCGTAATTTCATGTTTATAGCATTAAATGTAATTGTAAGTATTGATTAATTCTTTTAGTAATTTCACAGAGGTGTAAAAGCGTTGATCGTGCGCAAATTTTTAGTATGAAGAGCTTCCGTGTTTTATATAAAATATTCTTCGGTTAACACTGATACATCCCAAAAGAATAACAAAAAGAAGCATTCATTTCTTTATTAATTGTTCGAACTTAACCTGGTGATATGAAACTATACCACCTTACACTTTAATATCGGTTGCTGTACATTATAGAAGAAGTCTGGC